CAGCTCAGTGTATGACTTCCAGGCAGCTCCACTGATGAGGCGTCTCCTCCCTTACAATCCTTACTGTTTGTTGTCTTCAGCAGGGAAGGTTCAGTGAATCTTGTAGTTGTGGGGGAATTTCCAAGGCCTATCACATGCACCCTTCCCAAGAGTTGATGAGGCTCCTTCCAGGATGGAATGTTCCTTAGAGGACACTGCTACTGGTCACATTGCACGCACAGTCACAATGGAGAGAACAAGGAATGAGTCTATTCAGCCCTGCTGATACTGTCAAGGGCAATCCTCCAAAGTTTGGAGCTATACACATTTAGAGAGATCTTTGCTCAATAATCCACTACTAAATCTCCCTAACAGACATTAGCAGAAGTGTGTCTCCTAGGTCATTTGAGATCTCATCAAGTGGACTGCTGGGTGTCCTGGATGACTGAGTCTGAAGTCAGGTACAAAACAGGTTACACCATTCCTGAGGAACAGAAGGGGGATGGGATGGGGTGGTGGTGGGGCATGGGAAGATGGAAGGGAAAGGGAAGTGGGATTGATATGTAAAATAAGACTTTCTAATTTCAATTATTTTAAAAATAAATAAACCATTAATGTACTTTTTAAAAAAAGAAATATATTGGTTAGTAGTCTCAATATTGTTTCCCATTTTCTACAATATCGTCATTTCTTGTGGAAATCCTCTCAGCTTTGGTATTTGCATACACACTCATACAAGTACAAACACACAACTTGACCTATTGGTCTATAACATCTTATCAGTTTCTGAGTTGTTAAGACAAATTCTTTCCTAGACCCTATACAAGGGACCAGTCTATCAAAAATGCAGAGACCCAGGTTGGTGTTTAACTTGTAATGTGACTTAGTAGGTGTGGGAGAAATATGTGGTAGTCGATGTCTCTTTCAGTTGTTATTGCTCACTCAGGATGTGCTGACTCAACTCTGTCAATGGGCTGCCAGCTGAAAAAAACCGACCAACCAAACCAAACCAAACCAAACAAAACAATAACAACAACAACAACACACACACACACACAAACCCAAAAAGTGATATGGAGACTTATTAATTAGCTCCATCTATTCCTTAAGATTTAGCTACTGGCTCTTACAACTTAATCTACTTCTCTTCATCTACATATTGCTAAGTGACTTGTGGTGTTTACATCTCCTGCACATCTTTGTCCCTTGGAGTCTCCCTGCCTTTCAGACCTGTCTCTGTCCAGAAGTCTGGGATATTGGCCATTTAGGTTTTTGTGGAACCAATCACAAGTTGTCTTGGCAAACATACACCATCACAGTGTACAAAAAGTTTATTCCACAACACCTGCCTTACACTAATCTCTCAGCCTGAAATGGGCCCCAAACTGACCAACTTGTGAAATATTTTTACAGACCACCACCTACTGGATTTTCAGTTTTAGCATGTTTTACTTTCTCTTAAGTCTCACTATCCATCGTGTTATTCAGCTATTACTGAACAATTCCCAGTTATTATTAATACCAGGTCCTTTTACTCATGAGGTCATAACCACTATTAGAGGGTCCAGAACCTTCAAGGAACCCAGAACATCTTAACCTGTTTCTCCTCATCTACATTTTGCCTCAGGGCTCTTTACCCCTTTTCTCTGTATGACTTCCTTTCCTATGTTCTCCAAGGCTGTCCGGAGTCTGCCTGGCTTCTGGCCCCCACTTGTTCTTCTCTCCCTTCTTCTTTTCACCTTTTCCTACAGATTTTCTTCCTTTTTATTGTCTCTGCCATCGAGCCCCACCTATCCCTCTCCCGCCTAGCTATTGGCCATTCAGCCTTTTATTAAGCCAATCAGGTGCCTCAGGCAGGCCAGGTGAAACAGATGCAACATATCTTTAAATCTTCACATCAGTAATAAAGGCAGCAGGTATGCATGCAACACATTGATGGGGGTCGTCCTTCTGTTTCTTTCTCTTCTCGGTTGATGAATAAGACACTGGATAGCAGAAGCAGGGGGACAGGAGGGGCTAGGAGATGAGAACAATGGAGAGGCAGAAAGAGATGCCATGTAGTAAAAGAAGGTCTAAAGGTGTGGATCCTTTTTGGGTAAGATAAGACCACATGGAAATACTTGGATTGATAGAAATGGTTTAATAATTAAGACAGAACTAGCCTATAAGAAGCCCTAGCCATCAACCAACCGTTTAATAGTTAATATACCATCTCTGTGTGTTTATTTGAGGCAAAGCAGCTCCACGCCAAGGTTGGAAAGAAAATCTCCAACAACAACACATCTTAACAGTTAATATCTCATAGAATAAACAAATGAAATAACTCCTTCCCTATTTATAATATTCCACAACACTGTAGTTTTCAGGTCTTGTTAATATCACATGTGAATTTTCATTTTACTTTCAAAATAATAGGGTTTAAAATTAGTAGAGAAATAAGAAATGGCAGCTAAGTTTGTAAGCATCTGCTATACTATTTAAGTGTGAGTTTCAGCAATCGTGATTTACTGCTGTGGTTATGTCTGCTATATTATTAACTCCTTAATATTTATATATTTATGCTATACTGTTTACTCCTGAGTGTCTGTCTCTGCCATACTATCTACTCTTCACAGTGTGAGCCTTTGCTATAGTATTTACTCTTGAGCTATGAGTCTCTGCTATACTATCTAGTCTTGAGAGTGTGTCTCTGTTTCCCATAGAATGTAGCTCTAATAAACCATTCTCTTATAGAACAAATGTGTTAGGAAATATTAAGTTAAGGCATGTTACTTTTGTTCATGTTGCAATTTGTTTAACTCTGTGAGGCTGTGATGCTCTATGTAGAATACCTGTTTGTCTAATACAGAACTGAACCACCAAAAGCAAGGCAGAAGAAAGAAAGGATAGGTGGGCTGGCAGGCAGAGAGGGTGTATAGAAAAAAGAAAGGGAGGTGTGGAGAAGAGAAAAGAAGTAGCCAGAGAAGGAGGTTATCAGGGGCCAGCCACATAGCGACACAACAAGGCATAAGTGAACAGGAAGAATGACAGAAGAAGAGAAAGTGAAGGCCCAAGGTAAAAGGTAGATGGGAGAATGTAAATTAAGAAAAGCAGGGAAGAAGCCAGCAAAATGAGGCCAGACATTGATAGATAATAAATAGGACCCTGTGTGTGATTGATTTGCGTGTAGTGGCAGGCTTCCCAAAGAGCAAAAATATCACACAACATGAATGTATATACATTGAGGTGACTTCCATTTATAAGGAAATCTCCCTCTTGTGCTCTGAGGAAATTACTAACTAGGTCTGCAAAAACTCCAAGGAAGACAAATCACAGACTCACATTCACACAGCAAACCTGATCTTTGTTCAGGTACTTTGGTGATCATATATATCTTAGACATTTTTAAAAGACAGTAACTTGCTTCATAGCAGCCTTCATCTGTTATTATCTATGACGGAAATTAAAGCAGGAAGCATACTCTCTTTGCCATTTAATCTGGAGGCTTATTCACTTCTGTTTACTCTAATGTGTGTATGATGTTTACATGTTAATAAACTATTTTTGACAGAACTCAATAATGGAAGTATGTAATGTGTTGTTTTCTAACTTTCTACACAGTAAAATCAGTTGACTGCTACACTTCTTCCTAACTCTAATAATGATGGATAACCAGGAACAAAGACAGCTGTGATCACTATGGATGTAGGAGGGAAGGAAGGGAGGATGGAGAGGCCACTGATCGTCATTTCTCTGTGGTACTCATGGCAAAGCCAACAGGAAGACACAAGGTGAGTCTCGTCACATCTCATCTCGGCAAAGCCATTCCTCTCCATTCCCAGAAGTCACACTGCTGCAGGGGCCCTAAGTCCCCAGCATCTGAGCCATTCTGGAAGTCTTCTCAATTGCTCCCTTATGAGGCCTTCCCAGTAGGATGCTGTCACTCTGTAAATATTGTGACAGCCAAGGTCATGAGCTGTAATCACTGCTGAAACAGAAAAGTTTGGATATGTCTAAAACCAACAATGTTCAAAATGACATTTTTGGGAGAATTTAACACATATCTATTGAATATTTTATTCAAATCTCCACATTCTTTCACCTATTACTTAAAACCCTTAAAAGCACTTTACTCTCCCAACTTGTTTGGTGCTTTTTTTTTGTTTTATTTTTTCATTCCACTTAGGGTTCCCTCCATGTGTAGGGGTGTAGACAGTTGACTGGACCCTGGAATCCCCTCAGATGACTCTCTCCCTCAGGAGCCATCAATTGCCAATAGCTTCTCCACTCAGGGTGAAACACAGTGCCCTTATGCAGCCGTGCTTTTTGCATAACGGGGTTTAGCCTGTGTAAGTGCTGTCTAGTAACAGCCACAGTGTGTTCAAGCATGAAATGGTACTGACATGTCTAGCAGTGTGTCACTGTTCTAGAAATGTCTCAACATTTCACTGTCACACTGCAGACATCTACTATATCTGGTCTGACATTCCTTCTCCTGCTTCTCCTTCAGGACTCCCTGACTTGGCCTTAGATGTGTGTAAGCAACTTTTTACAATGTGTGACACAGGTGTCACTTTCAGATCCGGGCACTCCACAGGCTAATAGTCTCTATATTTGGACTAATTTGCATTTGTGTTTATTCTCCATCTACAACACAATATTTTCTGGTGGGTGCTGAGGGTGCCTAATTCCGAGGTTATAAAGATGAGACCTTGCGTTCATTTATTGTATCCACTTATTAAAATTAATTTTAATTACCCTTAAATTCTTCCTAGGGCTTATCACCTAGCCAGGCAGAAGTATGTCACTGAATTATTATCACATCAGTTACTGTTTGTGGAGTAAGTTTTAAAACCAGTCATAAAATGACTGATTACTCTCATAACTTTCCTGCTATTATTGCATTACAGACACTGTTTTTGTTTTTTATCTGAGGCACAGCAGCTGCACCTGATACTCTAGCTGCCTCACCTGATGACTGGGCCTCTGCAGCTGCTTCTGCTGCCTTGATCCTGAGGCCTTAGACCAGAGGAGCCTTCAGGTTGGGTTAACTAAGCTCTATCTTTTTATCTTACCAATAAGAATTCAGGAGCCAGATGCTGGGTGAAAACCTGCTACCTCAGAGAGACAGAGCTTCCTACACACCAGGGGAGATATTCCAGGAGCTCGAATGACTCCACTGGGAGAAACAACAGCCAATGCCAGATTCCAGACAAACAATGGACAAAGTTATGACATGGTAAAGGTGTCAGGAACAGTTACAGAAGAAAGAGACTCACTGCTTGAACAAAGTGTTGGGGTTACTGCAAAGAGAAGTCATCACTGTAGGGTTTCTCTCCAGTGTGAACTCTCTTGTGTTTCCTAAAGGACGATACATGCCGATAGGCTTTGTGACATTCCTCACACTTGTATGGTTTCTCTCCAGTATGAACTGTCTGATGTCCTCTAAGAGATGCCCATGAGTGGAAACACCTGCCACACTCTTCACACTTGTAAGGAGTGTCTTCACAGTGATTCCTTTGATGTTTTCTAAGGGATGAAGATGAGAAAAAACACTTGCCACACTCTTCATCCTCGTAGGCGTTCTCTGCAGTAAGAGCTGTCTTGTTCTCAATGAGGAGAGCAGGCTTAGTAAAGCCTTTTCTGCTCAGTTTACACTTGTAGACTTTCTCTCTAGTATGAGTTGCTTTGTGGTCCTTAAGGCTTGCATGATAACGGAAGGCTTTGTGACATTCTTCACACTTGTATGGCTTTTCTCCAGTATGAACTATATGATGCCCTCTAAGAGCTGACCATGAGAGAAAACAGCGGCCACACTCTTCACACTTGTAAGGATTGTCTTCACAGTGAATTCTTTGATGTCGTCTAAGGGATGAAGACGAGAAAAAACATTTGCCACACTCCTCACACTTGTATGGTTTCTCTCCAGTATGGACTCTCTGATGTTCTTCAAGGTTTGAAAAGAGGGAAAACTTTTTGCCACACTCTGCACACTTGTGGGACTTGTCTTCAGAATGGATTCTTTGATGTCGTGTAAGGGATGCAAGTGACGCAAAACACTTGTCACACTCGTCACACTTGTAGGCTTTCTCTGCAGTATAAGCTGCCTTGTCCTCAATGACGACAGCAGGCTTAGTAAGGCCTTTTCCACTCAGTTTACACTGGTAGAGTTTCTCTCCACTATGCACTGCCTTGTGGTTCTTAAAGCTTGCATGATAACGAAAGGCTTTGTGACATTTTTCACACTTGTAAGGTTTCTCTCCACAATGAATCTTTTGATGTTTCTTAAGGAATGAAGGATCATAAAAAGCTCTGCCACACTCTTCACACTTGTAGGGTTTCTCTCCAGAGTGAGTTCTTTGATGTTGCTTCAGCATTGAAGAATAATAAAATAATTTGCCACATTCTTCACACTTGTAGGTTTTTTCATCAGTATGATTTTTCTGGTGTATGAAAAGTGATGAGCGCGTATTGAAGGCCTTATGACATTCTTTACACTGGTAGGGTTTTTCTCCAGTATGAAGTCTCTGGTGTATGGAAAGTGTTTTATAAGATCTAAGGACCTTACCACATTCCTCACACTTGTAAGTTTTCTTCCTTCTATGAAGTCTCTGGTGTATAGAAAGTGTTCTGTAAGAACTAAGGGTCTTACCACATTCTTTGCACTTGTGTGGTTTCTCCTTTGTATAAATTCTCTGCAGTTGAATACTTAATGAGTTACAATCAATGGTCTTGTTGTAAACATTATAATCATTGGATGTTGTTCCTGTTGAACAAAAGTTGAGATATGAACAAAAGCTAGGAAATAGTGTCCATACTTAATCTTTTAAAAAGGAATCATTTACTCATACGTGTGAAACTACAGTACATTTCAAACTCTAAAGGCACTAAGATAGTTGATAAAATATTATAGTAGAAATAATTAATACTTCTACTAGAATAAGGGCACAACCATAGAACATACATATAATGACATATTATTTGAAGTTTAATAGCTAAGTAGGTTATAAGGGCATTTTACTAACAGAAATAAGTGTATTAAACAGAGATTTTATACAGCCCGGCATGCATAAAATTATAAAGTATAAAATGAGTGACAGGAGCTAATATTGACTTTCTGAATTTCAGCCTCCATCTAACTATAAAATTTTTGTCCTCCACATAGAGTTTTATTTTGGAGGATACAAAAGATATGCTGCACACGAAGTAGATGGTGTAAAAAGAAATTTATAGCTCAAAAATGCAGAACAATATTTTATGTTTTATTTGGTTGACAAGAAAATATATACCTGAAACAGTGATTTATGATAAAAAAAAAAAAAAGCCAAAAGCTTTAGGTTCACCTGTGCATTGCACAAATTTTCTGAGACAACATATTTATCACTGAATTGATGAAAAAAATTGACTTATTTCCTTTGTTGTTTGTTTCTGCTTTTTTAAGACAAGGTTTCTCTATATAGATCATGCTATCCTAGAACTCAACTATCTAAACCAAGATGGCCTCAATCTTAGAGATTCACCTACTTCTGCCTCCCAAGACTGGGATAAGTGAAGGAGTTGACTATGCCCAGGCAATAAATCATGTTTTTGTTTGTTTTGTTTGTTTGGTTGGTTGGTTAGTTTTTTTAGACAGGGTTTCTCTGTGGCTTTGGAAGCTGTCTTATAACTAGCTCTTGTAGACCAGGCTGGCCTCGAACTCACAGAGATCTGCCTGCCCCTGCCACCCAAATGCTGGGATTAAAGGTGTGGGCCACCACAGTTGGCTTAAATGCTGAATTCAAAGACAAAACAACTATTGAACACTGAGTAGAGGGACAAAGAACCAGGCATGAAAACACAGCATAGCTCATAGAGATTTTAATCTTTTGTTCTGATGTACTTTATCAAAGTGTTCTACAGCCACCAGAATATATAGGGAATGTAGAACAAATGATTATAGGTTGTACACATCTCCAAATTCCAAATTAAAGAAAAAGATTGTGAACCCATAAAATTGAACTTGGTAAGCTATTAAGTGCACACTCATTGTTACAGTTTTCATCTTTGAATACACACACACACACACACACACACACACACACACAAACACAGCATGCATTTTAAACCCTCATTACTGAGTATCTGATAAAGAAAAACTTTAAAGATATCTTCATCAAAGATAACTGTGATGGGGTCATATTTGTCAACATGAGTGCAAGTGACACAAAAGAATCTCATGTGTGAATTCAGTTTCTTCCAATGTTTTACACTTAGTCCTTTAGAAAGGTGTGAAATATTTCAGATTTGTAGGAAATACTACACAGTCTGTTACTGAACTACCCAAAATGGCTTGAATTTTGGCTTGAATTTTATCCAACTGCAACCCCAACTCAACAATACTGCTGAGAAAATTTTCTCACACATATTCACTGACACCTTTGGTAGAGCTATGGGTTTACATCATAAAATAACTGAATCAATAGAACTAACTGTTTTAGATTTTAAGTCCCTGGCTTGTATGTGGTATGATGTAATTTTGGACTTGGCTTTTTAAACCCAACTAAACTAGGGTTAGAGTGATGGAACGACCAGTGTATTAATTGGTACAAACCCAACCTTGACCTTCTGGACCTCCCACAGGATAAGTGTGGGTATTATTGTCTGGTCCAGATTTTGAGGGGGGGGGAGCCAACCAAACAAAGAAAAACATGACATAGTAAAGATGTTGACTGAAGAAATAATGGGTACATTTTTCAGTTAAATTCACATCTTACATCATTTCTGTGGATGCTGAATGAGGGATTACAGAGTCAACACCATCTGTTCTCTCTCTGCTATTGTTCTGTGCCTTACATTTTATTTCTTTCACTGACACTCCCTGTCAGGGAAATAACAATCACTGGGCATTAACAGCTCTTAATATCAATGGTCTCAATTCACGTATAAAAAAAGACACTGGCTAACAGAATGGATATGAAAGCAGGATCCATCATTCTGCAGCACACAAGAACATCATTCTGCAGCACATAAGAAACACATTTCAACTTAAAAGTCTAACATTACCTCAGAGGAAAGGGTTGCAAATGATTTTCCAATCAAATGAACCTAAGAAACAAGTTGGTGTAGCTATCCTAATATCTAACAAATAGACTTCAAAGTAAAATTAATCAAAAGAGATGAATAAGGACATTTCACATTCATCACAGAAGAAAATCCATCAGAATGAAGTTTCAGTTCTGAACATCTAATGTTCCAAATGGGGGCCCTATCTTCCATTTGGAGAGCTCAGTAGTCACTGTTAGAAAAGGTTATCCTTCACTGTAAGTAACATAAATATTTTAAATGTCACATGCAGCAGATCTCACAGAGGTTAAAGGAACATAATTTTTTATGTACATCCAGAACACAAAAACTTAATTCCTACTTATCTGATAGAGACTCAAACCTGAAATCATGTACAGGAAGCTAGATGTAGCTTTTTTTCTAGAATTAATATTCTATATGGTCATTAATATCGTGACAAAAGTTTAACAGATATGTATATATCTTAAAATTTTTGAGATAACATTTACTCCTTAAGTGTTAAAGATTCAAAGTAAAACCTAAGGATTATGAGATTTGTGGCAATAAAATAGTCCCCAAAGGTGGTTTTTCTTCTGTACCATGTAAGGTGGCTCTTAACATGATTTGGGAGATCTTGTCTATTTGCCCTTCCCGGGGGGATCCACGTATGTTTCCTTTATGGTTCTCTTTGTTACCTAGCTTCTCTGGGATTGTGGACTGTAGGCTAGTTGTCTTTGCTTTGTGTCTAATATCCACTTATGAGCGACTGTATACAGTCTTTCTGGGTCTGGCTTACCTCACTTAGGAAGGTTTTTTTTTTTTTTTCTAGTTTCATCAATTTGTCTGCCAGTTTTAAGATGTCATATTTTTGTTTTGTTTTGTTTTGTTTTTTACCACTGAGTCATAATCCATTGTGTAAATGGAACACAATTTCCTTACCCATTCTTTAGTTGGGGGACATTTACCAGGTTCTGTTGCTATTACAAATCATGCTGCTATGAACACAGTTGTGCAAATGTCTTTGTAGTATGTGTGTGCATCTTTTGAGTATATGCCCAAGAGTGGTATTGGTAGGTCTTGAGGTAGATTTTCTAGGAAATGGCCATATTGATTTTCATAGTGGTTGTACAAGTTTGCACTCCCACCAAAAATAAAGGAATGTTCCCCTTTCTCCATATCCTCTCCAGCATAAGCTGTTATCAGTGTTTTTGATCTAACAGGTGTAAGATGGTATCTTAGAGTGTTTTGATTTGCATTTCCCTGATGGCTAAGGCAAATGGCATAAGTGTCTTTCAGCCATTTGCCTTTTTCTACATATTGACAGAACATTCTGGATAGATGTTCTGCAGACTTTAAGGGACCAACAATTCCAACACAGACAAATACACTCAAAGAAGCTTCAATGACTGTAGACAGAACCTTACAGAACCTTAACATCTAACTCTACTAACTGCCATGAAAGAGAGGCACACAATCACTGTATCCAAACTGTTTGATGGACATCCCTGAATCAACAGTGTAGGACCTTGTTGGTCATCCTGTCCTCGTCTTCCTAGGCAGAATAATCAGGCCCTGCCTGCTGAACCAACTGGTGGTAAAAGTGTTGAAAAAAGGAAACAGCACCCATCATATTTATGTTCTCAATGTCCCAACAGAATCCCTTTTATAATAGATTAATGCTTTCAATCTTCCCTAAGATCAGTGGGGAATGAACTATTATCCAAAGTGACTCCAGTTTGTCTGAGTTTTATCCAACTGCTCACCACACCCAAATTGTTCTGATCAGGACTAAAACTGTTGAGGCTCTGTCACTGGCTGCCACTCTGTGATGGAATTGTGGGCTTGGCTTTATGAACCCAATCATGCTCACTTTGGTATAGAGATCCTTCTGGCATAAGTCTGCTGTCAACCTCTGCAAAGAAATGACTCTCAGTCTGTCCAGCACCAAGTTCTCTTTCCCTAAGTCTTACACTACAGTGGAGACTCAACAAAAAGAAAAACCTTGGAGGTCACTGTAAACAGAAGCATAGCTCACTGTTGGGGAAATACAAAGCTGAAGAGACTTAAACCATCATAAGCATCTGAGAGATGTGCCTTGATGATAAAGCCACGAAGAGAGACCTAAAGAATGATCCCCATAGAACCATGTTTCTAGGCACATGGGAAAGCCTGCCTTTCTGTTGGATATCTGGACCTCAGTTCTGACCCTGACCCCTCATTCCTACACACCTGGGTGCTTGGTGGCTGCTGCTTGTCTCTTCACACCTGGAGGCTCTTGTCTTTGCTCCAGAAATGTCACCAGGTGTGGCTTAGGGACAGCAAGGCCTGTTTGTAGAAAAAGGAACAAGATTGTTTATGTCTTCTTCTACTGGGAATTGACATGTCCTTGTTCATAAGGAAAGAGATGATGTAATAAATGGCTGCATACAATAAGTTCTGTAAATGTTTTCTGACAGGATCACTACAGTACATAAAGGAATGTACAGCATCCAGATTCTGAGTTTCATTTAAAGGAAAAAAAATCTGAAATAATTGTACTCCATGTCTCATGCCACTAGAGTGAAGGAAACATATATCCAACACAGAAAGGTTAAACACAAAAGGAGAAAAACAGTGAAATGATTCTTTTTAAAAAATAATTTTACTTTTTTATGTGCATTGGTGTTTTTTCTGCATGCAAGTCTCTGTGGAGGTGTCAGATCTTGGAATTACAGACAGTTATAAGCTGTCATGTGTGTGCTAGAATTGAACCCCTGTCCTCTAAAAGGGTAGTCAGTGCTCTTAACTACAAATTCATCTCTCCAGCACCAAAAGTATTCTTACTACAGAAAAAGCCTGATTTTTCTGAAAATGAAGCATATGAAACTCGCTGTTGAAATGTTCCCATGAGAAACAGTACAAAGTGAGGAAGCCACATGCTGATGGTGAAATAAGAATTCACTATGGATGTGATCCTCACCCAGGAATTCAAGGTGGCGGTAATTCTCCAACATCACATCCCTGTACAGATTCCACTGAGCAGGCTCCAGACATTCCCACTCTTCTGGAGAAAACTCAATGGCCACGTCCCAGAAGGACAGCATCTCCTGAAACAAAGGTCAATGAATGATAATGCATTTTAATTTAATTAAGACCAGTAATAATATAAATACCAAGAGCATTGGGCTGGATAGTTCTCCTGTCAACTTGACACTAGCTAGGGTCATTTGAGAAGAGAGAGACATGATAGAGAAAATGTCTCTCTAAGGTTGTCCTATCGCTAAGCCTAGAGTGCATTTCTTAATGCACGCTAAGCCTAGAGTCCATTGTGGATGGTGCCTGTCCAGTGCAGGTGTCCTATGTGGTATAGGAAAGCAGGCTGTGCAAGTCTGTGGCCTCAGCTCCAGCTCTCACCCCAGGTTACAGCAATGACTTCCCTCAGTGATGGATAGTTACCTCTGAAGTTGTAGTCTACAATAAAACCCTTCTTCTCAAAGCTGTCTTTCTTCAAGGTCTATATCACAGCAACGGAAACCCTAACACAGGCATTGTGTGCCCATGGACACAAATCGAGATTTTGCACACCATGAAAGAGAGCTAGAAATGTTTCTTACATAGTTGACTAATATTCCTCAGACATGTCTGAAGTAGTCACATGATCTCACACTGCACCCATGTTCAATGAAAGGCAAGGCAAAAAAGAAAAAAAAAAATCCCATAAGCCCAGTTGGACATGATCCATTTAAGACAGATGAGGTGTGTAATGAAAGCAGCCACAGAATAGGAATTTAGTGCCATGTCCTCCTATACACCACACATAAGGAATACATACACTTCAGAATTTCATACCTATGAACCACTAGGATTCGAGTTTTTCCTCTTTTAATTCTTTAACGGGCAGAGAAAATGAACAAAATCAAGATCTCGAGACCCTTACCAAGGGTCAGAGTACAGGAGTCAGAAACCCCGCTTGCTCTAAGACCCTGAGAATCTGACAGCTTCCACTTGAGAATGGCTCAGCTAGTGAGGCATGCTTCCCCACCAAAGCTACTCAGTGAGCTCCCAGCTCCACCTCAGGAGCAGGCAGTCAGCTGACCATCATTAGCTTGCAGTCCTGGTCACCTCAGCTGACCAACATTAGCTTGCTGTCCTGGACCTTGAACTATCATCTACTCCGCGCTCCCAGACAGCTCTCCTGTTCCAGAAGCCCAAGACGGACTCGGGCTGCACGTCCTAAGGAAACCATCACTCAGGGAGCAGTCCCTATCGCCCTCTCCCCAGCCCTGACCCTCAACCTCCCGCGTCCCAGGTGGTTCAGCACAGCACCTCCAGGGCAGCTTCTCTGCCCTCCCACCCAGCCCAGGTCCGCTCCCTCCAAGACGGAACCGCACCCCGCACTGAGCCTCAGGCTGCGCTGCACCCTGCACCAACCTCCAAGTCAGGGACGCAGCAGGAGATCCAGCAGGACAGGACTCGCGCCCAACTTTGGGGAAGACGCACTTGTAGAGACCAACTACTGGATCGTTATTTCCTGGATGTCTGTGATGTCACAGTCGCACGGACTACATTTCCCAGAAGTCTGAACGAAGGAATTCCTGAACTCCTAGCTGGTGATATTTACTCTTCCTGGACTTGAGTCTGTCTGCTTGCAGTAGGTATTGGGAGGAAGAAATGGAGTTTCTGGGTAGGTGTTGGTCTGAGAAATAAACCAATTGCTCGTGTTTCTGATAAGTTTTGTCCTCAAGTAGCGAAGATTCCCAAAGACCACCAGGGAGGCAGACTTAGCCGTACAAGGTTTATTTTTCTGCCCTACATCTGGAGGGACCCTGTGTAGCAAGCTGATGCAGCGGGTCTCCAGATGGAGTGAGTTCCTTGTTTACTGGTAGGATTTTTAAAGAAACTAACTGCAGGTTACATCAGAGGCAGGGAAGAGGTACTGGTCAGTTCCTGATTGGTTGACATTTAGGGGGATTTTTCAAAGCCTCATTTTGGCATGAAATACTTGTTGATCAGCTATTCTCATTGGCTGGCTGTAGAAGGGAACATTCTGTGGTTTCTATGGCTTTGTGTTGTTACTTGCAGGTGGCCTGTTGTACATAGATACCAATAGTTTTCAGGAACTCAGTATCCTGGAGACAAAAGGGGAGGTTTTGGTCTCGGAGGATTTTTTTTTTTTTCTTTTTTTTTTTTTTTGGTGTGGCCAAACACAATTCAGGAACTAAGTGTCCAGGAAGCTAGGGGTCTGGAGTTCCTGTATTCAGTTTTGGCCCTAGGTTCCAGGAGGCTAGGGGGTCTGGAGTTCCTGTATTCAGTTTTGGCCCTAGGTTCCAGGAGGCTAGGGGGTCTGGAGTTCCTGTATTCAGTTTTGGCCCTAGGTTCCAGGAGGCTAGGGGGTCTGGAGTTCCTGTATTCAGTTTTGGCCCTAGGTTCCAGGAGGCTAGGGGGTCTGGAGTTCCTGTATTCAGTTTTGGCCCTAGGTTCCAGGAGGCTAGGGGGTCTGGAGTTCATTTGTGTTCTTTCGTGGCCCCAGGTCTGGTGCATACAACACAGTCTCCAGGAACGAAGCCTCCTGGAGGTTAAGGGGGAGGGTTTGGTAGTTCCTTTGTGACATGTGCTGAGTCAGAGGCCTACATGTCTTTTCTGTAGCCTGGCATGGTTGCTAAAGCAGGGAGCTGGAGGAGGGTCTGGTTCCCTTCTAAAGCAAGCTTTATTTTGCAGGAACACCAGGAAGTGGCCATTTGGCTTTCTCTCCCAAAGTGGATGTTTCAGAGAGCAGCCCCTCACTGCCTTTTTGGGGTCCCTTTTTGAGGAAGTGTTCTGGTTCATAGAAAAGAGCTGTCAAGATAATTGGTGGTTAGAAAGGATGAAATGAAAAGATAAAACGTGTCTAAGCCTAAGCTAAGGCCAAGAGTTCATGAATACTAAGACGTCTGTCTACACATGTTCCCCATGATGGGTTACCTCATCCACCTTTATGTGGGGGTATGAGATAGGTACTACCTATACTTGGTGTGTTATGCTTTGTTCAAGCCCATGGAGACTGAAGATGATTGGATGGGGAGAGGGATAGATGGCAGTCTGGAAAGGGGGGTTGGGAGAGCAGAAGGTGGGGAAATTTTGGTTATGTAAAAGACATGAAAATGTTAAGTAAATGAAATAAAATTTAATGAAAAAATTCTCCCTACCAGTATTTTCTGGCTGGGGGTCCAGACAAGTAAGTAAAACTGCACAAAACACTGGCGTGTGAGAGAAAAGTATCTTTTAAAGATGATTTTGAAACCATCCTTGGTGAGCCTAAATGTGCTTCTAAATAATCACAGGCTTCTGACAAATGGACCCGATCCAAATCTGAACTGAAAATTAAAGACCTTCTCTATAATGAAACAGAAAAAACTAACTTAAAAAAATATGAATGAATAAAACATACATGGTAAAGCAGTTTGAGTAGAAGTTGGGGTTTGTTTTAATATTCGGTGCTACATATAAATAATCCATCTTAATTTGTAGTGACACTCTGCATGTTCCACACGTGGATCTGACTCCACAGCTTGTAAAACAGTTTTCCTGTGAACACTGGAATCCCTACAGGGTAGGAGGTTCTTCAGGGACACAGAGAAGGTATAATCACTGAACAAGGTTAAAGTTCAACTCTCTGACATTTACTTGCAAAGAAGTAAATAATCCATCTCAGGATTGGTCACCTTTCCTTAATTCCCTTGAAACTTTCAACTGTTAATCTGTGTAAATATTTCTGTTCTTGGAGGGCTCGACTAGAACTTTAACCATGTTCCCTTGGTTTTTTGTTTGTTTGGATACCTTACACATAGCAGCATCAGCAATACTAACAATCTGACTGAACATCAGGTAAGCACTCAGGTTAGCTGCATGCCTACAGCTCAGTGTATGACTTCCAGGCAGCTCCACTGATGAGGGGTCTCCTCCCTTACAATCCTTACTGTTTGTTGTCTTCAGCAGGGAAGGTTCAGTGAATCTTGTAGTTGTGGGGGAATTTCCAAGGCCTATCACATGCACCCTTCCCAAGAGTTGATGAGGCTCCTTCCAGGATGGAATGTTCCTTCAGAGGACACTGCTACTGGTCACATTACACGCACAGTCACAATGGAGAGAACAAGGAATGAGTCTATTCAGCCCTGCTGATACTGTCAAGGGCAATCCTCCAAAGTTTGGAGCTATACACGTTTAGAGAGATCTTCTTTGCTCAATAATCCACTACTAAATCTCCCTAACAGACATTAGCAGAAGTGTGTCTCCTAGGTCATTTGAGATCTCATCAAGTGGACTGCTAGGTGTCCTGGATGACTGAGTTTGAAGTCAGGTACAGAATAGGTGACATCATCACACACAGGTGTCATGGGAGTGAGTTAGAGATGTACTTACCATTCTTACCATACCTTACCTTGGAACATGGACTTTCCATGGACATGATGGATAGGAATCTGTAGAGTCCCTGAGGATCAATCTGGATATGAGGTGATACTGAAATAACTAACATCCATTTTTTCTGGATTCCCTCTGTGTTCGCTTAACCACTTCTCTGTCTTCTACCCTTCTTTCACACTTTGAAGGAGATTCTGGTGTTCATAAACTGTGTCTGTTTGTTTGTTTTGGGTGGCGCAAGTACTTTTCCATATCAGCCTGTGCCTGTCCTTTGACATCTTGTTTGTAGTCTTAATTCCTCTATGAATTATATAAATTATTTAGCCTTTTACTTAGAAATACATTGTTTAGTAGTCCCAAAATTGTTTCCCATTTTCTGCATTTAGTCATTTCTTGTGGAAATCCTCAAAAAGCTCTCTCTTTCCAGAAGTCCATGCTATTGGCCACTTATCTTTTTATCAAACCAATCAGAAGATGCCTTGGCAAAGACACTTCTTCACTGTGTACAAAAAGATTATCTACAATACTTCTCTTACAGTAATCTCTCAGCCTGTAATGCCCCAATCTGATAAACTGATAAAATATTTGTATAGCCCAATACCTAGTAAGCTTTTGTTTTAAAACATTTGACGTTCTCTTGAAACTCACTATTCATCATGTTATCCCGACAAGAGCTATTACTGAACAATTCCTAGCATACAATTAGTTATGTCATACTCAAGAGGCTACAAGACCTTGATGAACCTTTATGGAATCTCCAGTCATCCTAAAGGAATCCAGTATAAGATGCACAGACTGGGAACTGGGACACTTTGTTGTGCTCACATCCTGAGGTGAGAGACCAGAAAAGACCACCTGTGGTGGCTTCAGGAGGCTCATGAGCTGGAGCTGCCAATTTGGCAGAGCAGTGTGTTCACCCTGTACTTCTTTAACTTTCTAAAACCCCAGGCATCCAATGGCTTAACCCATCATGGAATCCAGGCCCTAGCTCACAGTAGCTATGGGACTTGGGACCACTTTTTCTATCCTGGAGCTCTTTGCTATGTGACTCTCCTCTTAGAGAAACTATAGTGGGTCCTAATGGCAGCTCTTACGAATAGGTCTCCAAGCCTTCTCCTAATGATAGCACATTCCCACTGTCCTTGACATTCCTTTGCCCTATGCCTATGGTCTGCCTTGGTTTCTGCCCCAATAAGCCTGGCTACTTTTGTTTGTTTCTATTTCTTAAATATATAGAAACAACTGCATATCAGGTATTGCTATTATTACACATATGTAGACATATGCTGTTGAAGCTAGGGTTGGCGTCCCTCATCCTCACATGCGTGTGCATCTCGAAGGGTCCTCTTATCTGCTGTTCTGAGTCAGTGTAGTTGACTCTGAGACAGGGAAAAGGACATCAGCTAATAGCCAAAGAAGACACTGTATGATTAATAACAGCTAGCAGGCTGAAGTCAGCTAGCAGGCTGCCTGAGTGCAGCTGAGACAACCATTGTTTATCTCCTGGTATAAGGCATCTGTAGAAATGCAGACAAAGTGTCCAGTCATTTTTCCCAGCTTAAAGTATGTAGTTGAGCCACAAATGCACAAGGCTTCAGGTTTAGAGGAAGCAAGGTCGCACAGGGTAGAAATACTTAAACATGTGCCCACCCTCACAGCCACAGGAGAGCAGCCTGCAACCAGCATTCCTTCCAGTGACTTCAGAAGTCAGTTCAACCTGGGTTAGCTGCTCACTAGGCAGCCAGGTGACCACATGTTATCACATCCTTGGTCACCCCTTGGACCCTAAGAGCCTGCTGGAGGAAGATACTGAACTTCAGATGCAGTGTGGTCTACTATCCACAGGCTATGGTTAAAGCCATAGACCCAAAGTATCCTCTGAGATCACAACAGCATCGAGTATGGGTGCTGTAGTGACCACTGGAACCTCCCAAATCTGCTCCTCACACCCATAATGATGTCACAGCACTGGAACCAGGACTTTAGTCTCTGTACTGTCTCCACTATTTCAATCCTGGGCTTGAACCTTATACCTCATTATAGAGCTACTCCTGCCCCATGTTTGTTTCTTGACTCACAATAATAAAGAATCTGAATGAACATAGATGTTAATGAATGTATTAATGGAAAATAGGATGGATGATAAATATAAATGTATATGTTTATTTCACACACACACACACACAGGGAATCCTATTTAGCTCAAAAATAGTAAAATTAAAAAATTAACAGAAAAATGGATGAGCATCAAATGTCTATCAGGTGAGGTCACCCAGTCATCTAAAGAAATATACTGCATGTTCTCCTTCATGTATAATCTAGACACGAATACATGTACATATGTGAAAAGATGCCTATGTGGGCACAGCATGTAAAGTGGAAAAGAGAATGAAGTCTGAGTAGTAGGGATAAGGAAGGATTTAAGGCAGGTAATGAACGTGGGTTGAGAAAGAGGACATAAGACATGGTTTTCAGGTTCCAGCCACTAGGGATTTTAGTTTTCATGGTGTGTAAGTACACGCAGTGCAGGCAGTATCAAATCCAATATGGAAGCCTCAGATTCTGTTCTGAATGTCCATTCTAACGGTACAGAAGTTCATGAGCTCTGTAGTGTCACAGGCTTTGTCTTCGGCCACCAACCAGCTCCCACTTCATGACAAGGAGACTTACTAGTTATGACTGCTTGAGCCTAGTTCAGGCTTGTTTCTGGCTAGCTCTCATAACTTATTTCTCTTCACCTACATGTTGCCTTGGGGCTCTGTACCTTTCTTTGTTTTCTGTATGACTTGCTTTGCTGTTATTTCCATGACTGTCTGGAGGCTGCCTGGCTTCTGTGCCTCTCTCTGTTTTCTTCTTTTTCTCCATGCTAGATTTCTCTTCTTTTTTTATTCTGACTGTGGGCCCCACCTATCCCTCTCTTGCCTAGCTATTGGCTGTTCAGCTTTAATTAGACCAAGCAAATGCCTTAAGCGGGCAAGGTGAAAGAAACGCAACACATTACTACATCATTAACAAAGGCAGCAGAAACAAATGTAACACACCTTTACACAGTTAAATATTTCACAGCGTAAACTTTGGCTATTTAAAATAATATTCCACAACACTGAACTTTTCATGTCTTTTTTTTTTTTTCACATGTGAAATTTATATTTTCACTTTCAAAATAATGGAGTTTAAAATCAAAGAGTGGGGGGAAAATTAGAAATGCCACCTGAGATTATAAGTCTCTGCTATACTATTAACTCCTGAGAGTATGTGTCTGCTATATTATTTACTCCTGAACTTGTGGGTTTCTGCTACACTATTAACTCCGGAGTGTGTCTGTCTCTACCATATTCTCTGCTCCTGACAATGTGAGCATTTACTACACTATTTACTCCCAAACTTGTGAGTCTCTGCTAACTTCTTACTTAAGCTGGACCCTTGAGAGGCTTCCTGCACAGAGTAGTAAAAACCATTGCCTTGAAGAACAAGTGTATATCCACTAAGGTCATGCCCTTTCATAAGGAAACCTCCCTCTGTGTTCTGAGGAACTAGATCTGCAGACTCAACCAGGAAGAAAACATTAACTCCCATACACACAGCAAATCTGATCTTTGTTCAAGGTGCATTGCTGACCACATCAAAGACATTAAAAAACAAAACAAAACAGAGCCTTTCCATACAGCAACCTTTCTCTGTTATTGACTGGGATGGTATTTAAGTCTGTGTTTTCTCTAATGTGTACATAACATTTACATTTTAATAAACCATTTTTAACTCAATGATAGACGGCATGTGATATGTTGGCTCATAACTTTCTACCTACCAAGTTCAATAGACTGCTACACCTCTTTCCTAACTTAAGTAATGATGAATAAACCAAAGCAGCTGTGATCTCTATGGATGTAGGAGAGAGGGGAGGGAGGATGGGGAGGCCACTGTTCATTGTTCCTCTGTTGTACTCATGGCAAAGCCAAATGCATGATACAAGGTGAGTCTGGTCCCATCTCTTCTCTGCAAAGCCAACCCTATCTCCTCCCTGAGGTTACACTGCTGTGGGGCCCCTGAGTGCTCAGCATCTGAACTCTCTCGGGAATCCTCATACTTGATCCCTCAAGATGCCTTCCCAGTAGGATGCTTTCCCTCTGTAAAGTTTAAGACAGGCATAGCCATGTCCTGTATTCACTGCCAAAATAGATCAAGTTTGGATGTCCAAAGCCATCAAGGTTGAAATGATATTTACTTTGGGAGAATTTAATACATGCATATTATTACACGTTTTCTTCAAATCCCAACATTCCTTCACCAATTGCTTCTTACCCTTAAAAGCACTTTACTCTCCCAGTTTGGTGGGCTTTTTCTTTGTTATTTCTTCATTCCACTTAGGGCTCCTCCATGTGTAGGGGTGTAGACAGTTGACTGGACCCTGGAATCCCCTCAGATGACTCTCTCCCTTAGAAGTCATCAATTGCCAATAGCTTCTCCACTCAGGGTGAAACATAGTGGGCCCTTATGCAGCCATGGTTATTGCATGATGGGGTTTAGCCTGTGTAAGTGTTGTCTAGTAACAGCCACAGTGTGCTCAAGCATGAAATGCTACTGACATGTCTAGTAACAGCCAGTGTGTTCAGGCATGAAATGGTACTGACATGTCTAGTAACAGCCAGTGTGATCAGGCATGAAATGGTACTGACATGTCTAGCAGTGTGTCACTGTTCTAGAAATGTCTCAACACTTCACTGTCACTCTGCAGACATCTACTATATCTGGTCTGACATTCCTCCTCACTCTTCTCCCTGACTTCTGGCTTTAGATGTGTATAAGGGATGTCCCTTCCGATGTCTGATACAGGTGTCACTTTAGATTAGGGCCCTCCACTGACTATTATTCTCTATACTTTGACCAACTGTGAATCTATGTATTAGTCTCCATACACCACACAACTGCTATATTCTGGTGGGTGTAGAGGGATGCCTGACTCTGTGGGTACAGAGATGGGAATTTGGATTCATTTAGGTAGTATCCGCTGATTACAATAACAGCTTTAAATTCTCCTTAGGGCTTATCACCTAGCTAGACACAAGTATCTCACCAAATTAACATCACTTGAGTTACCGTTCATGAACTATGCTTTAAATCCAATCAGAATATGATTGTTTACTCAGAACTCACCTGCCATGAGCTTTTTTTTTTTTTTAATCTGAGCCACAGCAGCTGCACCTGATACTCTCGATACCTCACCTGATGACGGGGCCTCTACAGCAGCTGCTGCTGCCTTGCTCCTCAGGCCTTAGACCAGAAGAGCCTTCACATTGTTTTAGCTCCATCTTTCACGCATGTATGTATGTATGTATGTATGTATGTATGTACTTATAGCCAGTAAGGTTTCAGAAACAAGACACTGGGTGAATGCTACCTCAGAGAGACTGAGCTTTTTACACACCAGGGCAGATAGTACAGGAGTTCAGAGGGTTCCACTGGGAAAAATAACAGTAACTGTGCCACAGTTCAGCTACCAGAATCCAGGCAACCATGGAAAAAGTTATGACATGTAAACATTTCATGGAAAATTTATAGTTACAGAAGAAAAAGATTCATTAATCAGGGCGAGTCTCAAACACAGTGCTTGAACGAACTGTTGGGGATTATAGCAAAGCGAAGTCTCTGATGTTCTCTGATGACATTCCTTTCTTTCTTTTCTTTCTTTTTTTCTCTTTTTTTTTTTTTTTTTTTTTTTTTTTTTTTGGTTTTTTTTGAGGCAAGGTTTCTCTGTGGCTTTGGAGTCTGTCCTGGAACTAGCTCTTGTAGACCAGGCTGGCCTTGAACTCACAGAGATCCACCTGCCTCTACCTCCCGAGTGCTGGAATTAAAGGTGTGAGCCACCACTGCCCTGCCCCTTTGATGACATTGTTAGCATTTGTGCTGTTGTAAGTTAGATGTTCATATTGACATTCCAAAATCATTATCTTAATAGTCTCCACTATGGATTCATTTGAGTTGGATAAGATTTGAATTTTTGGCAAAGATTTACCACAGTTCACTCACTCACAGAGTTTGTAGTCAGAATCAATCATTTGATGTGTTTTAAGGGTTGAAGAAGTAAACTTTTTAAGACATTTGTAGGATTTCCCTCCTGTATGGACTATATCACGTGTTGAATAAGGATAGAAAGATTAATAAAGTTTTTGCCATATTCCCCACACTTTTTAGGGATTGTCTTCAGAATGAATCTTCTTCTTTTTTAATGTTGTCTAAGGTATGAAGATGAGGAAAAACATCTGTCCAACTCTTCATACTGCTAGGGTTTCTCTCCAGTATGAACTTTCTTGTGTTTCCTAAGGGATGAGTGATAATGAAAGGCTTTGTGACATTCCTCACACTTGTATGGTTTCTCTCCAGTATGAATTGTTTGATGTTCCTGAAGATCCCTAGAATAGGAAAACCGTTTGCCACAGTCTATACATGTATAAGGATTGTCTTCAGAATGGATTGTTTGATGTCGTCTAAGGGGTACAGCTGAGTAAAAACACCTGCCACACTCTTCACACTTGTAGGGATTGTCTTCACAGTGAATTGTTAGATGTCGCCGAAGGGATGAAGGTAAGTAAAAACATTTGCCACACTCCTCACACTTGTATGATTTCACTCCAGAATGCATTATCTGATGTTCTTGAAGGTTTTTAAAAGTGGAAAGACTTTTGCCACACTCTGCACACTTGTAGGGACTGTCTTCAGAATGGATAAGTTGATGTCGTTTAAGGGATGAAGTTAAACCAAAACATTTGCCACACTCCTCACACTTGTATGGCTTCTTTCCAGTATGGACTGTCTGATGTTGTTGAAGGTGTGCACAGGAGGAAAACCTTTTCCCACACTCTTCGCACTTGTAGGGATTGTCTTCAGAGTGAATCGTTTGATGTTTTCTAAGTGATGAAGATGATGCAAAAAACTTGCCACACTCTTCACACCGGTGGGCTTTCTGGGCAGTATGGGCTGACTTGCTCGCAATGAGGAAAGCAGGCTTAGTAAATCCTTTCCCGCTCAGTTTACACTGGGACAGCATCTCTTCACTATGCACTCCCTTGTGATTCTTCAGGGATGAATAAAAATGAAAGGCTTTGTGACATTCTTCACACTTGTATGGTCCCTTTCCAGTATGAATGGCTTCATGTTGTCTAAGGTATGAAGGTGAGGAAAAACACCTGTCACACTCTTCACACTTGTAGGGTTTCTCTCTGGAATGAATTCTTTGATGTTGCTTCAGCATTGAAGGATAGTAAAATGATTTACCACATTCTTCACACTTGTATTTTTTTTCATTAGTATGGTTTTTCTGGTGTATAAAAAGTGATGAGCCTGTATTGAAGGCCTTATGACATTCTTTACACTTGTAGGGTTTTTCTCCTGTATGAAGTCTCTGATGTATGGAAAGTGTTTTGTAAGAACTAAGGGCCTTACCACATTCCTCACACTTGTAAGTTTTCTTTCTTGTATGAAGTCTCTGTGGTTGAACACTTAGTGAGCTATAATCAATGGCCTTGTTGTAAACATTATAATCATTGGTTGTTGTTCCTGTTGAGCAAAAGTTAAGATATGAGCACATGCTCAGAAATATTCTTCATACTTACAATGCTTATCTCTTTAAAAGGAAACATTTACTTATATGTACCGAAGCATCAATTAGAAACTACAGCACATAAAAAGCATAAACGTTTAGAATATTGTAGGTAGAAATAGTCTACACTTCTACTAGAATAAGGACACAACCAAATAGAACATATACATAATGGCATGTTACTCAAACAAAGTTTAATAGCTAAGTAAGCTGTAAGGGTATTTTACTAATAGAAATAAACCCAGAGCAGCCATTCTGAGTTACCTTCCAGATACATCTGGGACCAGCTCCTCTGCTGTGGAACAATCTTTTTTTTTTTTTTTTTTTTTTTTTTACAATATGGATATGTGTTACTCTCATTGTTAACAGAAAGTTGATTAGCCGATGGCTAGGCAAGATTTTCTGGGAGGAAAGAATGCTAAGAAGAAGTGTGGAAGGAGAGGAGTGGCCAGCAGACCCAGAGAGAAACAAGATGAATGTACCATGTTGAAAGAAGGTACTACCATGTGGCAAGAGGTAGAAATATGGGTCCATCTGAAATGTAAGAGAGAGCTGGAAATGAGCCTAAGGTATTGGCCAAACATTTATCATTAATATTGTCACTCCTTTGGTTATTTTAGAGAGGCTGCGGAGACAGAAAAACTTCCCCTACAAATGGCAATCCAACCTGGTACACCCACATCCTAATTAGACCTGAGCAAGCTAAAAAATACTCCTAAACACACAAAAACATTGCCAAAAGAGGCTTCCTCTTCTTGTGTCTGTCAGGTGGACTGCAGTACAGACATGCAATTCCTGGCAGCAGCCCATACATCTGAGCCACCAGCTTGAGCTCCACAAGCACACTGGGAGATGGGTTTGGGGTTTTGCTCACACAGACAGAAAAGATTACAGAGGCTCAGAAAAGACAGATCTAGATGGACAAAAAAAAAATCTCTACATGGGTTACAATGTGATTAAGAATGTACAGAGAGTTGGGAGGGAAAAGAAAAAGGGTATAGAGAGTCATTAAAATATATACATACTTTGAAATAATTAAGTAAAAGTCCTTAAAATGGAGTAATGTAAGAGAAAAAATCCACATAAAGATGGGAAATACACACAGTGTCTGGATTCTGCATCTTATTGTGTTGTCTTCAGATTTTCTGATTACTAATTAATGAACCACAGCTGCTAAGGCACATTGGGTTGTGCAAACTGCTGGATTAAACCAACCTACATATTTTTGAAATGTCTTGACTTTAAAAAAGAAGTTAAAAAAAGTTTCTTTGGGAGAGAGGTTATGCTTTTATTTCCATAGGAAATGAGAAGCTGTTTTTGTTACAAATACTTTTATGATATTAAAGTTAAAACCATGCTTTCTAATTTGACAAAAAAGGGGGAAAGCTATAGAATAATCCTTCTGTTATCCTAATTGTTATCTTAATGCTATTCTAATTATTAATAAAAAGCTGTTTGGTCCTTGGAGAGGCAGGATTTTCAGGGCAGAGCAAATGCTGGGATGAGCAAGCAGAATCAGAGGAGTCCCTAGGATGTGGAAGAGCAACAGATATGGAGGAAAGGTCCTGCCACATGGCAGAGTGCAAGACATATAGATTAATGACAATGTAAAAGCCAGTTAATAATGAGCCTGAGCTATTGGTCAAGCATTTATAATTAATATTAAGTCTCTGAATGGGTCTTTGGGAATGGCTGGTGGGACAGAGCTGATTGAGGTCTCTACTGAAGAACTCCGCCTACACTCCTCAGCCCTGCTCCCATTACAAAGCTAGGAGCTAATGAAAATATCCACTAATAAGGTAGGCTGATCATCAACAGGAGACCTTGACAAAAAGGGACTCCAAGATCTCTTCCTCTATCTGTACTTACGGTCCTATTAGCCATAATACTTCCCATAGGGCTACTCGGACTGGATTTGAAACAAAACATTTTCCTAACTTTGATGTATCTGGGAATATCAGGCTTATACATAAAAATTTGGAATTTCTCTAAAAATTTCTGCGTGAGAATATATCCAAATAGCAATTAGACATAATATACAATAAATATATATGAACTTGAAAAAAAAAAAAAAAAAAAAAAAAAAAACAAGACTCCAAAAATCCTTACACCATACTGGAAGACCTAACTCAACTGTCATGAAAGAGAAGCACAGAGTTACTGTATCCGTTTGATGGGCATCCCTAAATCAAGAGTATAGGACCTTGTAGGTCATCCTGTCCAACTCTTCTTAGGTAAAATGGTCAGAACCTACTGTACCAATTAGTGGTAAAAGTGTTGAAAAAACCAGTCTCTGTTAAATTAGTGAACCTAGGGGGCCAATACAACCCCTTCTATAATATGTTAATGCTTTGAATCTTTACTGCTCCCCACCCCCAAATATTTCTAATCATCAGACCTGAAACTGTTGAGCCTCCGTCAAGGCTTAAGAGACTTAAACCATCATAAACATCTGAGAAATGTCCTTTGACAACAAAGCCATGAAGAGAGACCTAAAGAATGATCCCCATAGAACCATGTTTCTAGGCACATGGGAAAGCCTGCCTTTCTGTTGGATATCTGGCCCTCAGCTCTGACCCTGACCCATCACTCCTACACACCTGGGTGCACGGTGGCTGCTGCTTGTCTCTTCACACCTGAAGGTTCTTGTCTTTGTTCCAGAAATGTCACCAGGTGTGGCTTAGGGACAGCAAGACCTATTTGTAGAAAAATGGTACAGGATTGTTGAGGTGTTCTTCTACTGGGAATTGACATGTCCTTTCCAGTGCATGGTTCATAAGGAAAGAGGTGATGTAATAAATGGCTGCATACAATAAGTTCTGTAAATGTTTTCTGACAGGATCACTATAGTACATAAAGAAATTTACAGCATCCAGATTCTGTGTTTCATTTAAGGGGTGGGGGGTGGAGATGAATTGGGAAACACTTCACTTTTACTTTTCATATGCCTAAGTGTTTTGCCTGCATGCATGTCTGTGTGAAGGTGGAGCATTAATCTAATTAAACTTTATCGATAAAAAAAAATCTGGAGTTATATATGGGAGAGAAGAACCTGGAAGATCACAGGAGCAGGGGAACAGCCACTAGTGACTTCCTGCCTCTTCCATACCACTGTCCAAAAGAACTGAGATCTTGTCTCAGCCGCCCCCCCCCAGTGCTTCCTACCCTGTTCTCTATGGTTCTCCAAACCTCTATGGTCAGTTAGTGGCTAACTCTGCCCTCTGAATCCAAGCAAGCTTTATTTGTCAGAACACAGTCAAAACGACACAACTTGAGGGTGCCAGAGCTTGGGATTACAGACAGTTGTGAACTGCCATGTGAGTGATGGGAATTGAATCCTGGTCCTCTACAAGAACAGTCAGTGCTCTTCACAACTGAGCCCTCTGTCCATCCATGAAGGATGTTTAATACAGCAATCTCCCTAATTTTTCAGAAAATGAAGGACATGAAACTCACTGTTGATGTGGTCCACTGAGACACCATACAAAGTGAGGAAGCTACATGCTGATGCTGAAATAAGAATTCACTGTGGATGAGATCCTCACCCAGGAAATCAAGGTGGCTGTAATTCTCCAACATCACATCCCTGTACAGATTCCACTGAGCAGGCTCCAGGCATTCCCTCTCTTCCGGAGAGAACTCAATGGCCACGTCCCGGAAGGACAGCATTTCCTGAAACAAAGATCAATGGAGAATAACACACTTTAATTAAAGTCATAAATAATCCTGGGCATTGGTGGTGTACCCCTTTAATCCCAGCACTCAGGAGGTGGAGTCAGGTGGATCTCTGAGAGTTTGAGAGCAGCCTGGACAGTTCCAGGACAGCCTCAAAGCCACAGAAAAACCTTGTCTAAAAAACCAACCAACCAACCAAACAAACAAAAACACAAAAACAAAAAACCAACTAATCAAACACACAAAAACAAAACATACAAAAAAGGTATAAATAATATACCAAGACCATTGGGCTGGTTAGTTTCCTGTCAACTTAAAACTAGCTAGGTTAAATGTGAGAGGAGAGAAAAATAACAGAGAATATGTCTACCTAAGACTGTCCTGTAGCCAAGCCTAGGAGGCATTTTCTTAATGAGTGATTGATATGAGATGGTACAGCCTATTATGGAAGGTGTCCCTGCCTTGGAAGGTAATTCTATATTGTAACACAAGTTCTAATTGGTCTTAATAATAAAAGCCTGGAGTCAGATATACAGGTAAAAGCTGAAAGTTCAGAGAGATGAAGGAGCAAACCACAACCACACCTTCCCTTGCTAACTTCCCAGCTGAAAAGACAGTGAGTTCCTGTTTCCTTCCACCTATACTGTCTCTGTCCAGCCATGTCATTTCCTGTCTACGTTAGCTAGCATTATGCATGTCCTCCTGTCCCCTCTAAGTCCCATTAGACAGGTGCTGCTAAGGTGAAGATATGAGAGGCACCTTTAGAGGTATCATAGCATAATGGTCATTGTGTGGTTCATGCGCATAACAGCTAAACAGGACTGTTTATTGCTTCTCCCATGGAGCTTGCAAAACACCTTCCAGCATGAAGAAAACTCACCCTTAGGCAGGAGACCTTCAGGTCAGATCCAGCTACAAACCTGAGTCTTGTGTCTGAAGGTCATGGTGTTTTCACCATTGGGAGGAGGGAGCTTATCATCACAAGACTTTGGGGAACAACTGGAATACATCCTCCATAAGGAAAAGCTACACAGAAAAAATGTCTTTAAATAAAGGACAGAGTTGAGCAGCAATGAGGAGGCCAGCAGACCTTCAAGACACAGGCAGAATGAAGCAATCTGGTGACCAGAACACCCAATAATTTCTCAAGGGAAGAGAGACTGAACTGTTTTGGAAGCTTCTTTGTAGCTAGTATAGCATGTCACTGCCTTTAGAAGCGAGAAAAACAGATTCCACTCTTTTTTAACCAGGGCTGTGCTTCTCAACATGTGGGTCACGACCCCTTTGGCAAATCCTCATCTCTAAAAGCATTTACATGAAAACAAATAACCTTACATTACAGTTATGAAGTAGCAAGGAAAAGAATTTTATGGTTGGGGATCGGCACTATATGAGGAGCTGTATTAAAGGCTCACAACATTAGGAAAGGTGAGGCTGTAGAGCTAGGGGCCACCAAGAAGAGGGACATTACTAGCACAGAGAAGGGCAAGAGCCCAGAGAAGAGTAAAGATGGAAACATTAACCTCTGGGAGAGCTTGAGCAGGTCCCCAAAGCAGAATTAACTGTAAGGATCACTCCCTGTACTGCCCAGCACAGCACGCCACCAGTCTACATCGGGAAGTGTCTGCTGTCCTGGGGCCAACCTCCTGTGGGACACTGTGAGTGGAGGGCATGACACCTGTAAACAGGATATTATTTCAGAGAGAGTTTCCCCAATGCTATTAATGGCAAACATTTCAGGGGGATTTGAGATGGGCAAACTTCATTTTCTATGGAGAAGAACTTCAAATAATATCAGGACTAATGGGGGAGTGTTGGTGGAGCTCATTGCCACTCATTAAAAGTTGCTATGCATTCATACTATAATTGGAGTGGACATCTGTCCTCCACTGGAATGGAGGCTGGTTCTAGAGGGAAGCTTATAACAGAATGGACAGAGTAGATGTAAGAAGAACTCTTGCATCTCCTGTTGGTGTCTCTCAGAGATATCTTTTCAGAGAGTCAGACAAAACTGAAGACTAGCAGGACATTGATGGGAAGTCAAAATGATATGGAAAGAAAGGACTGGATTCCTGGTCAGGATCTGAAGAGTAGTGACCCTCCATTCAAAACAGACAAACTACAGATTACAATAACATATAACATAGTGCTTAAAGTACATACAACAGGCGTGATGAAGTAGCAACTCCTAGATCTCTGTCCCAGGCTTTACTCACATGACAGAGGCATGAAACAATCACCAGGTTTTGTTTCAAGCCACCAAGTCTTACAATTTCATGACTCAGAAAGTAGATTAAACCATGAAAAAATATGGGAGACAAAGAATGGTATCTGTTTAGAAACATGAAGTATATGTTTTACAAAACCAATATCACACCTGCCACTGAATCTCCCAAAGGGACCTGGACCTGGAGGCAGAACAAAGCATCCACCATTGGCTGCCATTCCTGCCTTGCCCCTCCTCCCTCCAGTAGAGAGGTGAGTACCAGGGGGATCCTCTAGCCCACCTCTCCCTCACCTGTGGTGCCAGATCCTTCCTGCCACTGAATGCCCGAGATGTACCTGGAGGCAGAACAAAGCATCCAGCATCTGCCACCCTGTCTTCACCCTGCATCCTCCAATAGAGAGGAGAGAATAGAGCCTTGAACCCATCCCCACTAGAAGAGGGACAGACACCATCTGTACCGACTGGAAGAAGAGATGGGAAGACAGTATAAGAACAAATCCAACAACAAAAAGACTCATAAGACATCACCTGAGTCTAGGTATTCTATGCCAGCAAGACCTGAACATCCCAACGCAAATGAAGCAGAAAAGAACGAGCTTAAAAACAACTTCATGAAGATGATAGAGGCCCTCAAAGAGGACATGAGGAAATCCCTTAATGAAATGGAAGAAAAACAAAACAAACAAAAATGCAAGAAATAAACAAATCCCTTAAAGAAAACAAGGGAAGCCAAAAAAACAAACAAAAAAAATAAAATACAAAAACAAACAAACAAACAAAAAAAAAACCCACACACACAAAAGGACAATCAAACAGATGAAGGAAAGAGTTCAAGGCCTGAAAATGAAATAGAGACAATAAAGAAAACACAAACTGAGGGAATGCTGGAAATAGAAAAACTGGGTAAATGAACAGGAACTACAGATGTGAGCATAACCAACAGAATACAAGAGATGGAAGAGAGAATCTCAGGCACTGAAGACAAACTAGAGGAAAGATTCATCAACCAAAGAAAATCTTAAATCCAACAAATCCTTAACATGAAACATACAGGAAATGTGGGACACTGTGAAAAGACTAAACCTAAGAATAATAGGTAATGAAGGCGAAGAAGCCCAGCTCAAAGGTGCAGAAAACATATTCAACAAAATCATAGAAGAAAACTTTCCCAACCTGAAAAAGGACATACCAATGAAAGCACAACAAGCATACCAAACACCAAATAGACTGGACCAAAGGAAAAAAAAAGTCCCCTCGCCACATAGTGATCAAAACACCGAACATACAGAATAAAGAATGAATATATTAAGAGCAGCAAAGGGAAAAGGCCAAGTAACACATAAAGGCAGACCCTATCAGAATTACACCTCCCCTCCAGGGAAACTATGAAAACCAGAAGGTCCTGAATGTTCTACAAACACTAAGAGAACACGGACGCCAGTTCAACTATCATACCCAGCAAAGCTTTCAGTCACTACAGATGGAGAAACCAGGATATTCCATGACAAAATCAGATTTACACAGTTCCTATCCACAAATCAATCCAGCCCTACAGAAAATTCTGCAAGGAAAACTCCAACCCAAGTAAGTTAACTACACTCACAAAAACATAGGCAATAGTTAATCTCACTTTACCAAAAGCCAGAAAAGGGGGAAAAATTCAAACAAAGTATCACCACCAAAAAGAAATCCAAAGCAAACAAGAATCAACAATCAATGGTCATCAAGCATTGGTGATGCACGTCTTTCATCCCAGTATTTGGGAGGCAGAGGCAGGTAGATCTCTGTGAGTTCCAAGCCAGCATGGTCTACAGAACTAGTTCCAGGACAGGCTCCAAAGCAATACAGAGAAACCCTGTCTGGAAAAAACAAAAACCAAAATCAAAGGTCATTAATATCCGTCAATGTCAATATCTTAACTCACCTATAAAAAGAGACAGGCTAACAGAATGGATATGAAGACAGAATCCATCCTTCTGTTGCATACAAGAAATACACCTCAACTTCAAAGACAGATGTTACCTCAGAGTTAAGAGTTAGGAAAAGATTTTCCAATCAATGGCCCGAAAGAGCAAGTTGGTGTAGCTATGCTAATATCTAACAAATTAGAATTCAAAACAAAATTAATCAAAAGAGATGAAGAGTATGGTTTTTCCGCCCGCTGCCTGGTCTTGTTCCACCACTGCGCCAGCCCCAATTAACACACTGAGACTCTGTATTAGATATAATTCAGTTGGCCCAGTACTAGTTTCTTATCGGCTAGCTCTATCTTAAGTACTAACCCATTTTTGCTGATCTATGTATTTCTCTTACCAGGGAGCCGGCCAGCATCCTGCTTTCTCCAGACTCTCCATCTTGGCTCCTCCTTCCTACTTCCTCTTTCCTCTTTGTTTCCTAGTCCCTTCTATGTCCTTTCCTATTGGCCAACAGTGCTTTATTCATTAACCAGTATGAGAAACATATATACATAATGACATCCCCCATCATCTCCTCTTTTCTGTCTAAATAAAAAGAAGGGTTTTAACTTTAACAAAGCAAAATATATAACACAACGCTTATCAAGTAAGATCACAGTTAACAATATTTAGTCCATTAACATTTAGTAAGATTTGATGAAAATGTTTTATCATCTATCCTATCTTTGTGTGTCTAAAGTCTAAGTAACTTATCTTTAATCCTAAGTAAGGAAAACTATAACCATAACTATTTGTCTTTAATTCCATCAAAGACCACAGAAAGATAACATATAAACTCTAGAAATGACAGAGAC